GCCCTAAACACAGCTACAGGGCCCCACAGTCTGGCTGCTGTGGAAAAAAAAAAATTATTTGATCTTGAGAATAACCCCCTTCCCATGCACTACTTGTTTCACAACTATTTGACTGAGTGTTGCAAGTCCCTGTTGATGTCTACAGTCCACAAAAGTTCTTCTATTGTGGCCATCATTACGGTGTAAACATCTTCCTGCGTTGTGACATCACTAGTACCAGTCCCTCAGCCATTCATTTCTTCTCTCATTCCTTCCCAAGAGTAGGAAATGTAGAACTGGTAGAGAGGTACAGTACATAGAGATGAGAGTTTTGGTCTGAAATGAGCTAGAAGACAGAAGGTTAAAGCCATAGTCCTTTTGCTCTGATTTTGGGAAATGTAAAGGCGCGGGGCGGGGGGAGAAAAGGAAAGGGAGATGAAGGTCAGATTCTGGGCTGGGAAGAGAAGTGGGGATGAGTGAGCAACAGAGTTGTAGCCCTAGTTACAAGAGAAAATACAAACTGGAGGTCTAATATAAAGTCTCCAAAATACCACTTCCAGTTTCAACAGACACCCTGAGTAATCAAGAATCATTCCAATTAATTTAATAAATAAATAAATAAAATATCAGGTTGATCTGACTTCTCAGGTTGGTACTCTACCATGTCCTTTGGAAAGATGGCTAGAACTTACATATTAATTTTCTTCTTTTGTTCATTTAGAGTGGATTTTTATTTACAAGTTCTTGTCAGTATTTAAATAACTGTTCTGTGTTTATTGTTTTTACCATTATTCCTATTTCATCGCAAATATCGTAAAATTCATCTTGTTCATATACTCCTCCTCCCCAAACCCGGAGTGCATTCATGTTAGCATCTGCTGCAGACTTCAAGAGTAGCCATAATCTGTCAAATACAAAAAGAAGATTTATACAAGTTTTGTGAAACTGTATCACTTAGGAGTTTCTAAGGTTATATACACAAAAATCCCCACACCAAAACCCAAAACAAAAACCCAAACATTCATCATTAGCAGGCAATCTAAGACTTCTAAGTCTGATAGAAGGTATCAAAATAGTCTGGTTTCTAAGTCTGCATGTCTGGACAGAGCTCTCAAAAAGCAATTTTTTGTGCAGAAAAAGTCACTTGGTCCTGTTAACACAAAATAGATGGAGTGACACATGCAAGTAAGTGTTTTTACACAAGTATTGGCAGGACCAGATTTAAAAATACTGTATTTTATTAATCAAGTTGTTCTTCTCTCCTTAAGTATTACTTGCTTTAAATATCAATCACTTGAATTCAGATCCTTTTAAACACGTTCAGAAATCAATATTCTCTTCTCAATGCACAGCGAGAAGGGAGGAGTAAGAGGCAGACTCTGCATCTCCTTTTAAGGGATTCAGGCTCCATTAGTTTTTTCTTAATCGTGCTGGCAGCCTCTAAATTGCATGTGGTTGCACACTGCAGCATGCCCCGTTGTCCCATTTCCCCAGCTACCCAGAGCAAAGCAAAGTCAAAGTACAGCATGGCTCCCATCCCACCTGCATCTCTAGGGTGCTGTGTCATTGAAATCCAAGAGCCTGGACCAGAGTGGGGAAAAGGGAGAGAGGCTACTGTGCACCTATGTCTCCCTGCACGAGATGGGTTATGACATGGCTGAAGTGCACTTCCTCCGAGTACCAAAGACCATGTCCTAAGCAATAGCATCAGCCCGAGGATCATCCCTAAAAATACCCAAAAGGACAGTAACCTGTAGACAGCAAACAACCACCTTCCCACCAGTTATTGCACTTACATGCCTTGAACATCACTCAAATCTATTAATGTTAATTAAGCCCTAATTCTGAGACCTCCAACCCACAATAATTAGTGTCCTACCTTGAAAGGAGTTTCACTTACTAATGCCACCCTTTGATAGAGGGTGGATAGAGAATGAGGAGGAGGAAAACATGATCCTTTCTTCTTAGAGAACATCAAATGTGGCTTACGTGTCATAGGTCACTCTGTCCTGGAAAGAATCTGCTGGAATCCAGTTTGAGCCCTTAATGAAAATGGGTCGGTCATTGATTCTGAAGTAGAAACTCAGACCTGGTGAGCCAGGAATAGGCTCCTGAACAAGTTCTACTGTCCGAAAATAGGCCTGTGAAGACATGAAACTTAGATTTAAAGCAGACAAAAATAAAACAAAATAAAGAAAGAAAACCATTACAAAAGGGATTCAGCTGAAGCCTAACAGCTTAGAATTCATCAAGGACTCAAAAGACATTGTCTCATCTCCAAATTCATGCTTGATTAAAAACATACTGTAGCAGGGCTAAAAATAATCCATCCTATAAACCTGTTCAATATCATGTTAAGAGAGAAAGCAAGCATGCACAAACAAGAATGCACATGCACATGTATGTATACGCAAGAGAAGGTGCATGTTTGCTTGCTGCAGAATGCAGTCAAAAGTCCAGATGAGGACCGGCAAGAGGAATACAGGGGTTGCATTAGATCAGACACACCATTTAATCTGCAATTTTCTCCTTACAGAAGGATATTGCAGCAGCACAGCTGTAAATCCTGTCCCTAAACACCTAGCTTCAGGTTCATCCAGTAAAAGCAAGATCTCCTCCTTTTGCTGCCCTGAAATGATACATTTTAATAGTTGTAGCAATTAAAGAGAAAAAGATGGGCATGCAAACACAAATGCCAGTTTGGAAGTGAAGAGCCCTCTGGCCATTGCAGCTGTGTTTGAACAGCATGATCAGCAATAAGGTTTCAGAAAGACCAGTTCAGCGAAATAACCACTAAACTCTCTGTAAGGTATTAAAGGTCAGTCCAGATAAAAGCATATCTCAAGCAGAAGCTAAACTTTTACAGCTGCTCTTTCAGCCTGTATCTGGTATTGCGTACTGCAGATGCTGAAACAAGAAAACATTCCTTCTTCCTGCTGCAGGTGGAAGAAAAGTTCTCAAAAAAAAAAAAAATCATTCTGAACATTTTCTGGGACTTTACTTCAGTCAAAGCAACAAATGCTGCTCTGAGGGGTATCCTGATTGCACTGACATAAACACAGTCAATTCCACAGTCATGACTACATGACTATTGTAGTTAGTTGACTACAATAATACTTTGCACTGCCCCCAAGTGGGGTCTTGCCCATCTGGCTTGGGGCAGATGCAGAGCACCTGCCATGTTAGGCTCCTGCACAGCTGCAAAGTGCTACAGAAAACATCTCTTTCAGGGAGGCTTTAGACTTCTTTTTCTCCTGCATCCTTGTTCCAGTTCAACTTAGCTAGGCCAGAAAAAAACCTCTCTCTCTTTCTGGTAACTGTCACTCATTGTCACAGGGAGAAAATTGGGAAATTAAGTAAAGCTAATAGCAAATTTCAGCCAAGTCACACCAAGCAACAAGTTTTGGTCAGGAGGGCAGGATCTTCATTTTTTCTAGACTATCCCCACGATAGCAACCACTCCTCCCTCAGATGACTATTTGCTATACCTTTTAAAAAGGTCAGCTTGTAGAGCACAGCCTGTTCTTTCTCTGCCACAAGCTACAGTTGAGACGAGTATCTGTCAGTAAATCAGACTAAATTTAACCTAATTAAGTGCGAGTGATATACCTAAGTTAAAATGTAGTTTTTTATTTCACACACCAGACAAGGCTGAAGTTCAAATTGGAAGTGACTAATCCCATTGTGGGACTGTGTTTTTTAAACTTTCAGCTTATCAAAAACCATATAGATACACAGAAAATTATTTTTAGTGGTAGCCAAGACAAAGAAAATCATGGCTTTTTTTGCTTCCTCTTTGATGCTTCTTAGTCAATTGGACAGTTATTAAACACCTGGACAAAGCCAATGCACATGACAAATTAGATGCAGGAGTGGAGGCTGCAGATCACTGACCTCAGACTAAACCCCTCTGTGTCATGGCAATGACCAAAACACAGAAATTAAATTAATTAAAAAAATGGGACTTGCCCCAAGTCCTGCAGTGTTTTTACAGTGTTGCCCCAGGGGCAACAGTGGGTCAGTGGCAAGTGGGGCTCAGCATCTGTATCACTGAAGAAACTCCCAGCTAGAGAAAAACTACAAAGTCAGACCACTGAGAGGACATTTCAGACTCTCTGTCCAATATCTCTGTGTACATACATGTGCTGAGCACAGTGTGCCCTGCCTTTTTTCTACTGTGATCCCACTGCACACTGGGTTGGTTGAATATAGACCAGCATGATGAACTTAGCTTTAGGACAAGAGTCTTACACCCATTCCTAGAATTTTGCAGATTTATTTTAACATGAGAAGTTGAATTAAAAAAATAACCAGTATGTCATACAACTTTCACAGTTACCCTAACTACTGAATGCTACAAAAGAAAAAATACGTTATGACTACTACACTAGGGAAAAAGTTCTGTCCTTCCTCCAGTGAATTCAATTACTTGGAGAAAGACAACTCAGTCTCCAGTGTAGCTCTCTTTTGTGGCACAAAATGGAATGGAATTTATAGTTGGAGCTCCCAAAGTATTTGGGAGGTCCTCTTAATGGCTGTCATCAGGCAGGTTGGGTTTGTCTCAGAGTGCATTTGTAATGGAGTATTTCTATTACTAACAGAAGTACTGTGATATTGCTGTATTCATGATCAGGTAGAACTCGTGCAACTGGCCAAATAGAAAACAATGAGAGGCTGAAACACCCAGCCAGGACCACCCATACCGCAGGAGCAAGAGGAAAAGCTCCTCAGCCCCATTTCACATTCCCAAGACCCCAGGGTTCAGTACCTTTGTGTTCCCGCTCCATTGCTCCCCAGAGGCCCACCCAGTACAACACCACCTCTTCCTGTTCCTACAGCAGCTTCCTTCTGCCTTGTGGGGTGAAAGAAGGGCAAGGAGAGACAACTAGCATCTGGCATGCTTGGTGGCATGCTTTTCTGGCTACGAAGACCTTGGCCACCTTGAAATCTGTCTGATAAACATTGCTGCCTATGGACTGAACATTTCTCCCAGTCTTGGAACACACAGAAGCAGCTCTCTAGCCACCACAGACCAATCAGCTGGTTCTGTGCATAATTAAGAAACAGATACCTGTCTTTCTAAGTCACATACAAAGGCTTTGTACCCAGTTAAGTGACCTGTGGATCACATTTGGCATTCCCAGATTTCCAGGAGGAAAAGTAATAAGGATGAAGATGCCTGGAGCTGAAATAAGATCACAAAACGCCCCAGTGACCTAACAAATTAGCACACAGCATGAAAGGTGTGTGAAGACTACAAAGCCAAAAGGAAAGTCTTCTGGAAGTCACACTAAAAGGCCAGGGCGATGCAGGGGGAAGTGTGTAGAAAGAAGGAGGGACAGACAGCTAAAGGTTAAGATCTTCCAAGCACTAAAATAGCCTCATGAAATAAAAAAAACTCTGATTGCAGTGTTGAAGAAGGGTAAATAGAATTGAAAAGCAAAAAAATGCCTCTTGAGGCAATGAAAGAGGTAATAAATTCCTTGATGTAGGCACAGCAAGAAGAAAAGCAACTTATCAATAGCAAACAGGACTGGATAGACACTCCCTCAAGTAAACCAATTTCATTCTGAGAGAATTTCTGACTCTGGCTTTGTTTCACATCATCCTGAGAAGCAAATTCTAAACCAAAGTATTCAAATAGAACAACAAAACAAAACCAAAACCAGCCTTGCCCTAGATGTTGGCTTCATTCTGTTTTGGTTTTCTGCTATTCTCAACAGGAGTGAGTAGGTACTTCCCTCAGCCAAAGAGGTTCCCAGCACAGCTATAGAGCTCCCACAAGTACATACTGGGAGGCTACCCAGAAATTTTCTCAAAGGATTAGTTAATGTTTTGGAGACTACTGTAACATGTCAGAAAACAGAGAGCAGTTCAAGCTAAGGGTAGCTGAATCTGCCATAAGACCAAACTGTCTTTTGCCACATATACAGTTCTCATCCTTTCGTTTTCACCTGTCCAAAGTTATGTAGATACTCATATGGAGACAAACCACTTGTGAAATGTCTCACATCTTATTTTTTCTTTTTAAAAAGGCGGGGGGGGGGGGGCGGGAAAGAAAAGGGGGGGGGGGGGGGGCAGGAAATATATTCCACCTGAATACAGTACTATGTGGACAACAGAAGCAATAACAGAGCAACAACTTTCAGGAACATTTATCCCTGCTTGTACCTCCTGAACTACTCAAAGTTCCTATTAAGCCATATAAACATTGCTATTCAGTCCTGCTGACATGACAGCAAGTTGTGCTAGAACATGAAAAAACTGCATATAGAGCCTTTTTCCACTCGTACAGCTCTGGGCAGGGGATGTGGGTGTGGGGGACAGTGTGTCAGTCAGAATCCAAGACAAAGCTTTACAGTATGAATCTGTACAGGCTTCATATGCTGATTAATTTATAATGCCTACTATGAGGTGCATTTGCTTTTTTCCCCCCTCTTTCCCCTTAAAGAGAAAAAAAAGAAGAGGCTCTGAATATCTTTTGTAGACCATGAAGTCCCTATGATCATAAGCCACAGGGCTCTCTGAAATATCCTGATGCAACTACCTAAGTGGACTAAATTCATTTTCCTATCATTGTGCAGTTTTCACACAGTAACAACAGAATTTTCCTTTTCACAGGCTTTACAGCTGTATTTCCTACAATCAGTTTTTCCAAGCATAATATGCTATGTTTATTTGGTACGGTTTTTTAATTGTTTCAAAATTAAATCACTGATAATAGCAAAGAATTACTCTTATGACTTCATAATCAAACTAAGGGCTAGCCCTATAAGGACTCTAGAAGCTACTGCTTTTCATAGGATATCTCACATGAACAAATGTTACAGCAAATAGCAGTTTTAGATGCCTGGTGACCAGATTAGTTTTTAGTGAAGTAACACACATCAGAACCACCTAATAAATGTATAAATTTACTTGGTTGCTTCCACATATTAGGGGCATAAGGACCCCAGCCTAATTTGTATGATTTTTTCCAATGGACAATTGAAAATTACCTCTTCTAGGCTTCTTAGTAAAAACAAGCAGATGATTATACAGCCAGTGTGCTGCAGGAACCCTTATGCAAACATCCCTGAATATTACTTTCATGGTCATATTTAAGATGTTACCTCTTCTTAAACCTGAAGCACATCTATCACGTTCTAATAAATGAATGTATGTTAACTTTTTAGGAATGTGTCTGTCCCACAAATCTTTTAAAAATTGAATTAATAAGAAAAATAAGTAATAATTTATTACTTATAAGTATAATAAGTAATAAACCTTCACATAATCTATAGAAATCTAAAAGGATTTTTCAGTGCATGATACAAAAACATCAGCATGATATATCAAGTTTAAAAGTGCTTTTTTCCCTAAGATAGAAAACATAAGTAGTAAACTTCTCTTTCTTTCTGAGGTTTCCAAATAACTGTAAGCCATCCTCCAGTCTGAATGCACATAAAGGCATGCATACAAGTTAAAGCTACCTGAAAACTAGTAAACATACATCATGACATCAAAAAACCTCTTGTTTCTCATCAGCATTTTCACATGCATATTACAATCCAGCAAAATATTTAAGAGCAGAGCAGATGTCCTAACAGTAGCAGTGCAATGCCAGCTGTAATCAAGCTGAAGGGCTCACCTTTGAAACTTTCTCAATCTGGTATCCTGTCTCCATGATGAAAGTTGTTGTCATGTTGTATCCAGTTTGCTTTCCATGTCCATTTGGCCACCAAGCCTCCACTGTAGAACTCTTGAATGTACAACAGAGATAGTCAGAACAATGTGTATAAAAAGAGGCATAACATGCACCTAGGAGCTCAGATATCTTTGAGTGAATTACCACAAGTCTAACGAGTTTATGTGCCTCAGCTGAGCCATGGTAACTGGGTTCTCTCCAGCTGCAGCTCTGAGGTAAAAATCATTTAAAGAGAGGAGTATGATTTCTTTCACTGAAGTCCAGGCTGTCACTTCATCTTATGTCCACAACAGGCCATGGGCACACGTACACATGCATGTGCACATCTAGCTACTACCCCTCAGCTGAGGTATATTAACAGAACATTCCTCCAAAACTCAAATATCTGTGTAAGCAGCAGAAATGATTCACTAGCCTCTGTATCATACCCTTCCTCCATTGACCCTTTTACCTATCACATATAACATTCAACACACAGAGGTGACACTTTTCAATTGTGACTTTGGTAATATGTGACCATACTGACTGCTTCACTTATGTCGAGCTTTTAAGTCAAATTATAAGTTTCATTCTTTCTTTTCAGTGTTTTCTGCTTTTTCTCTATGCTTCCTAATCATGTCACTGGTACTGCATGATTTTCACAAACATTAAAAAAAAAATACCTCTAGGATGATAGAATGATTTAATTTTCTCATTTTTCCAGTCACAGAATAATATTTATATCTTCATTCCAGGAGCCTACTTCTGCTGCTCAATCCTATTGCCAACATTTGCCAGTTGAGTGCGCAACAGAAAAATCGTGGAAAGAAAGCAATAATGCATGCAACCAAACAATGGAGGGATCAGCACTGAATAGAGTCACATAAGGAGTGCCTCAATCTTTTCAAATAAGCCAGAGGCCAGAGAGCAGCCCAACAATATGCTTTGCTGTAGCCATACTTGGACACAATCAGGAATGTATCTACCAACGTTTCAGCTTCCCTGATACAGAATTATCATAACTGTTTGTGCAGAAGTACTAATCTCTGTGTTGCACGGAATCAAATGGAAGCAAAAAATCAGCATGTGCCTCAACAAGGGAGCGCTCGCAGCTGCCTGGCACGGTGGGAGTGTCTCATTGGCCACTAATGATGTCATCCCCATGCTCACCATTAGCTGGTAAGCAAAACACTGTCACGTTAGCAACACAGCACTTTGTGTGGCAATTGCAGGAAGACTGCTACACATCTTGGGTGATACGCACCACTCAAACACCTACGGACTTTGCAACATAATCTGCAATAAGCTCTCAACTAGAAATAAATTTCTGGTGAGGTCTCGCTATTTAGCATGCACCACACAAGTCTGTCGTATGGAGTAAGGGCTCCATTAAACTCACCGATACATGAGAACACATTGCAGGGCTTCTTGTAAAATCAGCTGATGTGAATTCATGCAGCAAAGCCTTTTTGTCCAAAGAATAATAAAACACTGTTGCCTCTGCTCTGAAGGAAGTGCTTCCTCACAAACTTGCAGTAATACTCCACTAATAGATTTCTTCTGAGATTGAGGGTGGGGCAATTAAATAAACCAAAATCATTTTTGAAGTTTCATGCTGCAGTGTCTGCTTAATGTAATCCCTGAAAAGACTAAGCAGAAACTAATGATTGTTTTAAATGAAACTGGGTATTTGTAATTGCTCATGCAACTTGCACCTCAGATGACAACAGTAACAAAAATCATGTTTGTATGCTCTTGTGTCAAAATAAAACAGAGCATGTAAGTATGCAAGCCACTGAGTATGCATACTAGAACATAAATAACCTGCTTGCCTTTAACACATACTTTTTCTCCACTCAACTAACAAAAAAACTTGAGAATACACAGATAATGCATTCAAACTGGGGAAATAAATGCAGAGTTACACAGCAATAGAGAAAATTAGTAGAGCCAGTAAAATACACAAAGGTTTGAGTGCAGACCCTCAAATGTTATTAATGGCCAGAATTGTCAGAAGCCCCAAATCCCTGTTCACAGCACATCGCTCACCCAGAAATCTAAGTCTGCCCTGTGGCAGTGAAGCAGATGGCAGCTCCCGCTACGCTGTTGGCTCCAGTGGAGAACACCATCAGCTTCCGCTGCGCCTGCCAGGGCTCCCACCCTGCCCACTGGCCTGGGCCTGCCACTGTCAGGTTCAGTTCTGCACAGTCAGCTCTACTAGCGCTCTGCTCTCTGAGCAAGAAGGCAAGACAAAGTTCATGCTGCTTTTTGCCACACTGGGCTCACAGCCTAATTCAAGACACCTCCCTATTTGTCAACTAGAACAGACACACTGATTTTCTTCATCTCTTAAGCCTATATAACTTTTCTTAATTACACCCGTGTGATGATAAAACTCAACAGCTTCTAAAGAAAACAAACACAAATAAAAGATATTTTATAGAACTTAAATAATGATCATGAATCAAGCCTGGCACCAGATAGTTTCCCAACAGCCTCTGAAGGTAAGCAGACCAATTTTTTCCTCTTTCATCACTGGGTTGTATACTAAAGCCATCATTTTTCAGTTGAGTTCCCTCCACATTAAAGCATCCTTTACCTCTCTAAAATTCCGCCTGAGTTTTGTCTACACAAGAGACTACAAGCAACATAAGGAAGTCCAACTCCACAAAATTTCAGCCAACCTTACTGCCAGACGAGTTCTTTATAGGGCTCTTTTGCTTTTACGTACCTGAAAGAGTATCTACTGAGAGGTTTGAGGAGGTTTCCTCTCATTCACCCAGGAAAACAGAACCATGCATGTTGTAGTATATTCTAGTCCCAATCAGTCCAGTAAACAATAGCATGGGAGATGAGATACCTACTGCCAGTTAAGTGACGTGACACAGGGTGTCCAAAGGTTATCTACCCAAACAGCTCATTTAATAGTGGCTGGTGATGATGTGATCTTTTTGTTTTGCAGTAAGGGAAAGGCTTCATCATCTTTTTGACACTGAGCTACGGTAGCCCCACAGACATAAAATTTTAAGTGAGGAGAAGAACTGTTCTTCTATTCTGTAAGGGGTACAGAACTGTTGTTAAAATTAGGGACGCAGTAAGGAAGGGAAGAAAGGGGGAGAAAGGCCTATAGCTGGCATGGAGGCAGAAAGACACATTGGAAACCAGGGGAAACATTCTGCAGTTGGCTAGGGTTCCACACACACCTCCTTACCTTGTTGATGTTTACAAGCAGCACAATGCTGCCTTCTCCAGGTTGAAGCTTCACACTGAATGTTTGCTCTGTTTGCAGTTTGGGAATGTTCACAGTCACAAGACCTGCAATTGGCTTGGAGCCGATTACATCAAAAATGGACTCAATTTCAAGACTCCACTGCTGAGAGCTCTTTACTAAGTGAAGCGGGGGGTAAAAAAATGGGAATTTAGGAACTGTGTTTATATATCTAGTAGTTAACATGATCTCTCATCAAAGAAACAATTCAAACACCTCAGATTAAATTCAACAACTTTCAGTCTGTGCTTGAACCAAACCTACAAGGTTAATCTTCTTGTTTAGTGCATTTGGTATCTGTGTTTACATTTGCTGACTCAGAAGAGAACTACGCAATATGATTTATGTTTTATAATGCTCTCTTTTTTCCATCTGAAAGCCATCCAGAGGTTTTTCAGAGTTCTGTACAGAAGTCAGAGACCATGACACCAGTTACTTCACTAGGAAGGATTTTTTTTTCCCCACCAACTCCCATAGACATTATATTTGCTTTTAGTCAGCACTCATATGAACATGGTACTCTTTGGGAAAGATCGTAATCACAAGGCAGTACAATCACTTTTGTCGATGAAACAAAAACAGTATTAACAGAAAACGGGCTGAATTCATCCCAGAGTCACTGGACAAAATGAATGGAGTTATGCTGGGGATGAATTGGGCCCATTGTGTCTAGACTTGACGGGCTGTATCTTTATGTCCCTTCTGCCACCAAAGTGCAGTGGAGGAAACAAGTTAATGACTTCCCTGAAATGTCTCTACAGTTATCTCAGACAGTCCTCTCTTTTACAGAACTTACTAAATAAGGCAAACCAGGGTCGAGGCTACTCAAGATTAGTATGTAAACTTCCCATTAACTTCAGCAATTAAATTACCTATCTACAAACATAGCCTCGCTAATCCTATACTTTAAATATTATAGACGAACATCTAAGCAAAAGCAAATAAAACAGAAAACAAGGAAAACTAGAACTAAGACACGTTTTGTATACACAAACTACTAATCACTTACTTTCTCTTTTCATGTATACGTTCTACTTTTCCGTTCTCCAGGAGAGAAAGAGACGTCTCTCCAAAAGCAAAGAATTACATTCAGCCCTGGTGTGATTTTCAGTGTCTTTTGTAGAATGAAGAGCAACAAATGTGTTTCCATGTTTATATTACACCCAGCTTACCCAGGGAAGACCAATTTTCAGAAATGTTGAAGGGCTTAAAAAAACAGCTCCCCACCCCAGCTCAGACATTACAGTGTGTTTTCCCTCTCCTCCAAGGGCATGTAGCAACTCCAGCCCACTCTTCATGAACTGTGGGGTCTAGGCACAGAAATCAAGAACAATGAATCTTTTACAGACTCAGTGGTCAAAAGCCTATGACACCAAATCTGATGAGCAATATAACTGCATAAGCAGCTTGAGTTCAAGTTGTTAGTTTACTCTTTATATTTCAAATGTTACTATGTTTGAAGCTCTGACTCTGGTTCCAATACACTCTCTACTGAATGAAAGAGGTTTGCTCTCTCCACTTACCCAGAGAGCAAGGCTTTACCTACCAGAAGGTGGAGTTGTGGGAATGTGGGAGGGACCAGAAAAGATTTTTACTGTAACTAATTTTTAGAGAGCACACAGAGTCTGTGCTGGGGCTTTCCATGGAAATTCCAGTCACGTTAATTCTAGCTAAGACCTGCAGCTATTTCGGGAACCTTTAAAAGCAGCCAGGGAGTGACGTCTTCCTCTTTTATTCATATACAACAACTCTATTCCCAAGGGCTGAAATTCAACCCAGTGCAGAGGGCTCACGTGCTAGCCTTTACTCCATTGAAGATTGGGCTCAACAGGCAGTGAAAGAAAGCACGCGGGTGGTCTACGATGGGGCATATTACTGTTTACAGAAAGCTTCAACAGAAAATTAACTACTTTCACTCAGCTGCAATGATCTTCTGGATAAAGGAGACGAAAATCAAAGATCACGTCAAGGGAGGAAACCGGTTCGGTAAGTTAGGTAGCAGGAAT